CAATTTTTGGCCGCAAGGTGGCATACTTTAATTGCATTATTCACGCAAAGTCTTACCCCGATATAATCATTGTTACCCGATTTGCATAGTGAAAGAATCAGATGTGTTACATGGGAAGTAAGCGTGGTTGTAGTCCGATTTCGCCCATTTTCGCACTATGACATAGAAACATGAAAAGAACGTTATGCACCGAGTTTGGTTGAAATCGGTTGAGCAGATCTCAAGATATGGGTTTTCACCTAAAAGTGGGCTGTGCCACGCCCACTGACTAATTTTGAACGCGGTTCCTATAAACCCAATTTATACCATCTTAGAGATAAAATTTAATGTCTCTGGCGTGTTTAGTGCTTGATTTATCGCGCTTTTAGTAGTTTTTAACAGTACCGTTATATGGGGAGTGGGCGGAGTTGCCACCCGATTTCAACTATTTTCACACCGTCAATAGAAGTGCTAAAAACATTTGGTTCTAGTGAATTTTGTTATTATAGCATTAGCGGTTTAGGAGATTTGCACATTAAACCTATTAGAAGCGGGACCACGCCCACTTTTTAAAAAAAAAGTTTTAACTGCAGATGCCCCTTCCTAATGTGATCCTGTGTACCAAATAACAGTCTTGTATCTTATTGCGGAGCTTAGTTATGGCAAGTTATTTGTTTTTGATTAATGGCGTTTTGTGGGCGTGGCAGTGGTCCGATTACGCCCATCTGCAATACCAACCGTCTCACGGTACCAAGAAACATGTCTACCAAGTTTCATAAAGATATCTCAATTTTTACTCAAGTTAGAGCTTGCACGGACGGACGGACGGACAGACAGTCACCCGGATTTCAACTCGTCTCTTCATCCTGATCATTTATATATATATAACCCTATATCTAACTCGATTAGTTTTAGGTGATACAAACAACCGTTAGGTGAACAAAACTATTATACTCTGTAGCAACAGGTTGCGAGAGTATAACAACTGACAATTCGAGATTTGGTAAAGGTCTCAAGCATTAAAATGCGGTCTCTGAAAAACAAATTCCTCGAAGAGTGTTACCAAATCTTGAATGAAGTTTCCTTTATAAGGACTACGATTTCCAAAAATGTAATTGGAATCTATAATTTCGTAATGGGAAGATCATTCCCAATAAGGGATCACCTGGGTTTAGCTGGTTGACGTTGAAAAGCAAGAAATGTAATAGATGAGTGAACACATAAAAACAAATTGTTCTCTCTCTCTATTGTTAATTTCATATCGAAAACTCTTACTTTTTGGGCATTGGGTATTCTCCTGTGGTCTCTTAAATAATTTTTGAGAATACCGCTGAGATTAGAGCCTCCCGCCGAATATTACATTCTTTTCCATTTAGATTACAAATACTCGACAAATGTAAGCGTCTTTTCCATCTCTTTCGCGTCATTGAGAAGAACAAAGTATTCAAAGTATGACAGAAATAGCCAGTAGATAATAGTTTGTGAGCTTAAAACTCGAGTTTCAAATCCATTAATTCGAAGTATGGTTACCAGAACCACAAACCACTAGAACGCGTAGGACAGTATACAAGGTCGAAAAAATACTTGCTAGTCGTATATAGTACATACCTACATAATTTTTAAATTCTTCGCTCTCCCTATGTACTCCTTATATATATACTTCTAAACCTAAAACAATTACGGGAAGCCGAAATTTCAATTAACAGCTTAAAATCTTATAAATTTATTTGTAAAGTATAGAAGGATATTCATGTATGTATGCATATATACGTATGTATGTAGTATGTGTGGGTGAGCAATACATTTGAGAGGTGATATTGAATAAGCGAACAAATTGAAGTTAACCAGAGTACAATGGAATAACCGCAGCCGCAAGCTGATAAGTAAAACAACAATGCACCCACACACACACACACGCACACAGAGTCCGACATGCATAAAACATACACCAGAGGCATGAAGTCACAAAATTCTAATGCAAATCTACGACTAATTATAGTAGCAAAGACAAACAAAAGCTACAATAAAAACAACAAAAACGACAACTGTAATGAATTTCAGCCATAATAATCAATAATGCAGCTAAAGGTGGGTATGTATGGTTTTATTGGCATATTGTAAGCTAACTAACAACAATAACAACAACTCTATTACGCATACAATTTGACATTAGAGGGTGACAGAAACAAGAAAAGGAGGCGCTGCTTTCTGATTGAATAGATAATCTCCTTATTTTTAGATAGCATCGGTAAGCAAGCATGGTTCCATCAAATTGTTGGTTTGTAGAGAAGGTGTTCGGTTAAGTCCTCCTGGTGTAGCCTATGCATCACAAGAACAATTATGCCTTTTTTCTATCGTTGAGCCTGGTTACTAGAGAATGGTCAAACCAGTTTGTGGCACGCTATCTAAACGTTTCACTCAAAGCTTAAGCTTACTGCTATGATTTGTACTATTGTTATATTACTTAATATGCTCACACTCCGGCACTACCGTTTAAAAGCATAACTCAATGAATTTTAGAGCGCCTCCCTCTCCTGTCATCCGAGTAGCTTGGCTATGGTACTTGGTTCCAGGAAAAATAATGATGTCATAAAATTTGCTTTCTATCCAAGAGCGTGTCATTCCAGTGCTACTGTTCTTGGAAGCGATTTAATTAATAAACAAAAGGCCAACTGATGAAGATTGAGATGTGAATAAATATTTTTGTACAAAAACAACTACTACAACATATACATATACATAGGTATAAATATGTATTTGTGACTGCTTATTTAGTTATTATCTATTTTATTTGTTTCATTCATAAGTACCTTAGGCAGGTTTGTAAGCGTGTGTGTGTGTGTGTGTACTGGCCAGGTGCGTATTGTTCGCATACTGCCAGTCATGCTGTCCGTTATTCCGACAGACAGCCTGCCATTCAAAGTTAAAGTTCAACATGATTTTACAATTCAAAGTCGACTGCCGCCCCATGAGGTGGGAGGGTTAAGGTGCTGTGGTTATTGGCAGTATTTGGCATTTATGTGGCTGCCTTCGCTGAACCGATTGGAACTGTTCGGGTTACATATGTTTGCATAATATTTTCATTATGATAGAGGCATACACATGCCCGCGTGTATCAAAAACAATTACAAATAAATTTACTCTGAGTACTCCAATGAACTGTATGAAAATTCAGGAGAAATTTTATTAGGTCAGTTAAAAATAATGTTTCTCTCGAAACACTTAAATAATTATTGGCACTGAATAAAGGTATTTTTTTACAACGTACAAATAGGATGAAATTTATAATTTGTTGCTTTCAAAGTAACAATATATTCGATATTTTTTTAATTGCTTATAATTTTTAGAATTTACATTGATCATTGGCAATATTGGCTATTTGACATAAATCAACTTTTAAATGAATAATCTGGCATATATTATATATAATATTATCTGCAATAATTACTAACAAAAACATTTATTTTCTTTTAGAATATAGTATAATTGCCAGCTGCCTAAACGGGACCTAAAAATTGTAGAAAACTTAAAAATTCTTGCGAAATAATTGCTGAGTAGTGCATTCTGTAGAGGACGACTGTCTGCGAACATTGCAGCCGAATCGAACCCGTAGCTTTTAACCGCATGCTGAACCGGGTGTTTTTGAGATTTTAAAAAATTGATAAACGGCTATACCGCCGAGTTTCGATTATCGTTTTTGGTAGAGAAATCATGCACTGAAAACAAAAAAAACTGGATGATTTATGCGGCGACTCTACTCTTTCATTGGCGGCTGTCAAAAACTGTGGCTTTCACCTCCAAAACAGCTCTGAAAAAAGCGAGCTGTCCCATCGACCGGAAGCGCTTTGGTCACGGTTTTCTGAGAAAAGCAAAATGGTCCTCAATTTTTTTTATATCTTCAAAGTTTAACTTTTCAAGACTATATCTATAAGGGGAGGAATCATATCTTCCAAATATTGACAAACTTGAACTAGAGTGTAGTCATGTCGAACATATATGCATAACAATAATTGTATTCATGTGATGGGATCAAACTCCCTGATTGGCATCCCTAGTCCCAGACCTAAATTCGATGCAGCATCCTTGAGCTAATTTTTAAAGAATAGATTTTTTTCATATTTTGATAGAGAGAGTTTATACCTTTAGAAATGACACACTAAAATTCCAAATCGGTATCTCTAATAACTTTTGAGTTACAGCCATTTCAAGTGCAGCCGCCCAGTTCAATCAGCTTGATCAGTTTTTTTTTAACACGTTTTTCTCGAAACATCGTAAATTGATCGCATCATCATTATTTTCTGCCTGACAAAAATCGATTTGGCTGGCCAAAACCATGACAGGGGGAACCAATTTTTTAGCGCCGTCGGAGTACTCGTATAGCTCAAAAAATTTTAAATTTGTTTTCCAAAATTTCAGTGTATATTCTTAAAACTTGTAAATGAAAATTTCAAAGCAATCAATAAAGTAGCTTTTTTAAATACCCGAAAACCGACGTATTTTTAGGATGTCACAAAAAGAAAAACTTTTTTAAAAGAAGACGCTTCGAAGACCACCAATGAACCATGAGCGCAAGCCCTTATAGCGTGGCAAAATATTTTGCACACGTCCTTTGCACTCAAGGACATTTATCGAATTTATAGCTGCCATACAAACTGAACGCTCGGAATTAACACCTTGTATGGAAAACCGTTTTATTTGACGAGATATTTAGCATGGATTATTTTCCAAAGCAACGGTACAATCTCCGAAGAAATTGTTCAGATTCTATTTGTGAAGAGTGTTATTTATAGCTTCGGTGCAACGCAAGTTAACGTTTCTTCTTATTGCTTATTTTTCATAACCTTGTACTCAATCAGTTATGTTGCAAGCAAACTGGTTTAATTTCCTCGGGTCTTGTTACGGCAAATTAGCAAGAAAATGCAATTAAATCCAAAAAAAAGTTGATGTTATGTGTACAGCGTATTTTCATAAAAAATAATATCAAAACATATCAAAAAAAGAGTAGCTGTCAAAAAGCTTACCTTATCAGGAATTCTTAGTTTCAATTGCGTGGCGTGTCCTTAGAAATATCCTTACAAATACACAACGGAGGCGTCAAGCTCGCACCCAGTGAGTTCACTTGAATTCCTTGAAATTTATTTGACCTTTCTTTGTTGAGCAGTTAACAGCATTGTGTTTCTGTGTGTTGGTATGTGCCTGTCACAACTAGTCACAGTTAGTTAGTGTAAACTGCTCGCAGCAGTCCTTTACTTGGCATTACTTTAGTTTGCTTTTAATTAAAATTATTTTATTTTTCTTGAAAAAAAAACAATTTTCGGTTTCCTCCAAAAGTTATTTGTTGACACGAAAGAGGTGTGTGTGCATGTGTTAGTGAGTTGTTGCACACAGTTGACCTTTTGACATTAACTTGTACGCTGATTTGATTATTTTATTTCACTTTCACTTCTCATTCTGCGTATTTGTTTTTGTTTTTTATTTTCAGTTTTCTTATTACAAGCTGCTCAACTTTGTTTCTTTTGCATTTGATTGTTATTTATACGCTTGTGTTGCTGACAATTTGCAGACTGTTTGCGATACATTTAATTTGTTTTTGTTTTTGCTAAGCAAGCGTTATGAAATGTTATATTTTTATTACACAATTTTGTTGATTAAATGGTTTTATATTTTAAACGTCAATTTTATTGTTGCAATTTTCTTTATTGTTTCCAATATAAAGTGGACAAATTTACAATACCTTGCATCTTGCAAGCTTATCGCATATCTCAAACAACATCGTGAATATTTCTACATAAATTCGTTCAAAATTATAAATTTATAAACTTTTGTCGCTTTTAATTGCCTGTGGAAACAAAAAAAAATATTAATATTAAATAACTGTTTGTAATATATTTTAACAGTAATATTTTATTTATAAAAATATTTATGTTTTTTGAGTTCTGAGCATATTTCTTTTATTTAAATACATTTTTTTATTTTTTGTGGGTTTTCCAATACTTAATGTATTTATTTATTTGCATAACATTTTTTTCTAATTCTTTAGATATTACTTGTATTTTTATTTTAAATTTTACAGACTTTTAAATTGATAACAGGGGTCTTTTTTCGGAGTCTTCTCACGGTAAAATTCTAATTTAATATAATTTTCTAAAACACTTTAACCTTCTAACAACTTTCCGAATCTGCATTTGAATTAAAAGGTTAAACAAGTTTGACTTTAACAACTCCAATACATAATCCGACATTTTATTTCGTTCAGACTTTGATTTGAAGTATTATTTGTATTAAGGCTTGAAATAATCTTTTATAATGGTAAATAAAGATTAAAAATATTTTTCAATACAAAATGTTTTAATTCATAACCTCATTATATATTTCGCTTAGATTTTGATTTGTAGCATATCATTTAAAAAAAACTACTTAATACAGTAGATGTATCATAAAATAAAAATTCAGTCGAAATCTAACGAGTTCTTTATTTTGAATGTCTTAGCGATTTTTATATTAGAAATATACTCAGAAGTTTTGCAGGGTCAGCAACGCATGTGACCACTAACAGAAAAAAAATGTTGGGCAGTAAATCTATGACTCTTCGAGCGGTTGTCATAAATACAACGTTTACATTCACGGTGGAGGAGTGAACTATTCATCTCGGCCAAAAAACGGAAATAAATCACGAACATTTTATTGCGATTATTTTTTAAAATTTCGACGTGGATTAACTCAGCAAGCAACAGTGCATCGATGAACTTAATTCATTCATTTCGCGATGATGCTTCATCAAGGACTAGTATTTACCGACGGTATGAATTCCTCGGTGTCGTAGACCACTACAAAACAATTTTTGTGAAGGTCATCCAAAATCAGTTGTTTTTCCGGAAACTATTAATGCTGTGCGCAAACTGATATTGCAAGATCGTCATGTAACCTATCGTCAGATTGAGACAACTACAGGTATTAGTGAGACCAGCATGTATTCAATATTGCATGAACTTTTGACTGTACAAAAAACTTGTTCACCTTGGCTCCCACACAATTTGTCAATCGCTCAAAAAAGGCAAATGTGATGAGATGAATCCAACAAAATTTGTTCGCCATAGTACTTCTAAGAAAATGGTGTTCTTTTTTTGGAAAAACTGGATATGTCGAAACCATACCAATAGAAACAACGCAGAATAGTAAATTTTGAGTGGTACACAACCACTTGTTTGCAAGTTGTCTTTCAAGAAGTAAGGAAAACCAACCGCCGAAGACGGATCACTCTTCAAGTGTATGTTTTTTTGCACTCAACTCATCGACTGATGAGTCATCCACCGTATACTATTGATTTAGCACCGAATGAATTCTTTTCATTCCCGTATGTAAAAACTAAACTAAGAGGTCAACGTTTTTCAACATCTGAAGAGGCGATTGATGCGTTCAGAACACATGTTTTGGATATACCACAATAAGAGTGGCAAAAATGCTGTGAAAATTGGTATAAACGTATGCAAGACTGTATATATCTTAATGGTCAATATAGAGACATTGAGAAGATCGGAAGTATAATATAAATTTAACCGACTAGTTCATAGTAACTATATTAACACGAATGGTAAATTGTCGCGGCAGATTACTGAAAGCTTTTCTCTATCCTTCTACCAAATTAATCTAGTATACCAATATTATTAATGCCCCGGCAAATATTGTAACGACCAAAGAGTACAGTTTTCGATATAATTCCTTAGAGAGTTTGATCTAAATTTCTAAAGACACCTGACAAATTCTTTAATATCTCGACTTAAATCTGAACTGTTTGTGAATCAATAATTCATTCGTAATTATTCGACAAATATCTTGCTCAAATACTATTTCTAGCAAGATTATTTAAATTAATTATATTTCTATTTATATTTATTTCTCACGTTGCCTAAAATAGATTCAAGCAAATAATACAACAGCTGTGTACCATTTAACCAAACGGCTCAAAAAGCCTTAAGCAATGAGCAAAAATTGCTCTAAAATTCCGGAGAGTCTTTTTATAGCAGAAATAAACTAACATTTAAATCGAGAAACTAAACAGGAAGGAAACCCGCAAAAAATACATGTGAAAACAAGAAGAATTTTAGAATTCGCTATTTCTATAGTGAATTGGCCGAAGCAGTGCTAAACCCCATAAATAGCAGAAATACTCAGCATTCTCGGGCTGTCCAATTCGAGCTACCCAACTCATCTCCACCTCTCAGGCAAGCAGGAAGTGCTTTCAGCGACTTTCAAAACAGCGCAAACTGCAAATAATTATGCAAAGTAGGACCTGCAAAAAAATAGTAAACAAGAGAAAAAAGTGGAAGAGAATAGTGAAGCGAATTCTAAAAAACATTGTGCAACCACCCACTGGCTTTATTATTATTTCGTTATCCATCGCATGCCAAACAAAACGGATATAACTGTTAACAATGTATAAACCAACAAAAGGAAGAGAAATGACGCACACTAGGAGCTCTACGTAACAATTTGATTTATCTGGGAGTAAATTTAAAAAATCACAAAAGTAAATTTGAAAAGTATAAAACGAGGATTTTCATCAAAGATAACGGCAAATATTGATCTAATCTAATTTGTATGCACTTACACCTAAATGTAGACAGCATGCCCCTAAATGTAGGCAACACTTTTCATAAAAACACGGAAAAATATCGATTATTAGTCAAACCTTTCATAGTAAGAAAACAAAATTTTAAAATATTGGAGCTAACGCGATTTTAACGATCAATTCTTACATCCATATTTATGATGCATTCACAGTGAAAGATCAAAGTTCGTAAACTCGAAGTATTTGTCTAGGAGTCAAAGGTGTCGAGATGAAACTGCGATATCGAACATCGTTTATTAAAAATACCTTTGATATCCTCTTCAAATTATTTTTGCCCATAGCGCACAGCACATTGTACATCGAAACAGTTTTTTATGAGCATTCGGCTACCACCTTCGTGGTGCCAATAGCAGCCACAACAAAATTGTATTTATACCACTGATTGCTTTTGTTACCTAACAGCCAGTTTTTACTGTTATGCCTTCGATTTCACCTTATTTTGCTACTTTTTAATTTGTATTTTATTCACCGTCGCACGCTCTTCTCTCATCGTCGTGCACAATTCATTATTTTTCTCGACAATATTGTCGCTTGACTGTGTTTGTAATGCCTTGCAAGTGACGCTTCCATTTTTGCGCTTTCAATTTACTTTCTACTGCTTCATGAACTTGTTTTGCCTACTTGTTCTTTTTTTTTTTGATTTTATTTTTATTTTTGCTCAGTCACGTACAGTTGTTGAATTATGTATGTAGCAGTTGTGTGTGGACTGGTGTGCCTCTGTGGATACCAGTGAAAATTTTTTGACTTCTCTTCGTGGTGCTGGTAGATTGGACTTTGCGCTTGTTTGTTTGATTGTCTAGAATAGCAGATTAAAGGGGTCGAAGATATATGAAAACAGAGTGTCATAAACGATGAATTCCACAATATATGAAATAAATCCCAACAAGCTGCGCCGTTTGCCATTCCAAGTGGAATTCTTCTGAGAAATATGTATATCTTCCAAAAATCTTTTTAAAAGCTTTTAAAATTGAAACCCGTTTACTAATTAATAATCCATTAGTTTAAAAAATTTAATTAAACAGATGGCAACCGTCCTAAAATATATGTTAAGCTGTATTCCACTTTAATTTGATATATTATATTTATTTATTTCATTAATTTTATTCTATTAAAATTTCTCAACAGATGGCAACGCTTATCAAACATTTCTTTAACTATACGCCTACCTAAAAATCCTTAATTTGGTTTCAATATTGTAAAAACTCCAATTTATATTTCTTAACCTCTGGCAACTTTTATCAAGACTTTTTTTTATTACTTCGAAATTTTTTTCCTTTCGCAACAATGGACAACTTTAGGCCAATGTCTTTACATTACCCCACAGAAAGTAGTCTAGCGGTGTTAAATCACAAGATCTTTGAGGTCAATTCACAGGTCCAAAACGTGAAATTAGGCGGTCACCAAACGTGTCTTTCAATAAATCGATTGTGGAACGAGCTGCGCCGTCTTCTTCGAACCATAGCTGGACATCATGCTTGTTCAGTTCAGGAATGAAAAAGTTAGTAATCCTGTCTCTATACCGATCACCATTGACTGTAACATTCTGGCCATCATCGGTTTTAAAGAAGTACGGACCCATGATTCTACCAGCCCATAAAGCGCACCAAACAGTCAGTTTTTCTGGATGTAACAGTGTTTCGACATACACTTGAGGATTAGCTTCACTCCAAATGCGGAAGTTTTGCTTGTTGACGTGGCCATTCAACCAGAAGTACGCTTCATTGCTAAACAAAATTCGCCTATGATAATCGGGAACAACGGCAATCTCTTTTTGGCCCAGTTTTGCACTATTTGCAAGCATTGTTCAGGCGTGAGTCTATTCATGATGAATCGCCAAGCCAAACTGAGAACAAATCACTTGACAGCTGTTAAATCGGTCGCCATCTTGAACAGTAATGCCAACTTAAAGTTCTACACCTCGAAAAAAAAAACACCCGTTAGTAATATTATGCTAACACTTCTATATTACGGTGTGCAAAAAGACAAGATCGGATCGACATACTTCCCATATAACACAATTTAAGATTCCATCTGATTCCTTCACTTTTTAAATATCCGAACATAAAGTAAATAAAAAAGGTATATAAAAAATATTACTTTGAAATCGAGCGTTGCTGCAACCATAAACGGAATTTCAAAGTGAAAAAGAATGCCGAATGGCGTAGCAGCGAGTTGTTACGGAAAATAACACAAAGCGTGCCGCCAGAC